CAGGGTATACCCTTTGGTGATGCATGGAGAGGACTGTAACTATGGCAATGAAAAGCAAATGTTCTCTCATATAAACTGTCACATAATTCACAATAAAACATTAAAAAAATAATAGTAACTCTCATTTAAAAAAAAAGCCTTTGCACAGCAAATAAAGCACAAGTAAACATCAGAAAAAAAAAAAAAAGAATATTGCTGGATGTCAGAGCTTCACATACTTTAAGTGTCATTACATGCCATGTCTTAATTATTTTGGTTGTTTGGAGTGTGAATGTAAATGAGAGCTTACTTTAATCATGTGATGTTATGGAGAAAATGATATTTTTGAAACCAAAGAGCTATTTAGGTGATATGCTCCATTTTTGTTTTACATAATATCTCCATAACTTAAGATGTATTTTCATACATAATTTGAGATCTGTTTTCTTAAAATCACCATTATTATTTAACAGATCATAGGAATTATGTTTTGATATTTTCTTCCTTATTAACAAATTGTAACAATAAAAATTATAGCTAATATTGCATAGCATATTCAAATTTATTGAATATGTTCTTTCATAATTATTGTACTATTCTGAAATTAAGAGGAACCTTCAGCACACACACAGGGGAAGGTGTACTAAATATTGTTTTCCAGAATAACTAAGACTCTCAAGAGGCACATCTCTTTATGAATACCTTAATTTCTAGATGCTTCCAATTTATTGTGACCTAAGAATTCTTTTCACTGAAATTCAAAACCAGCCTGCCATTTGGAAAGAAATACAGGGACTTTCTCTAGAATCTTAACAGAGTCTTCTTGTTGTTAAGTGCTGTCAAGTTGGTTCCAATTCATAGTGACATTGTGTAGGGTTTCTGAGGACTGCTGGTGGATTTGAACCACCAACCTTGCGGTTATCAGTCCAGTGCTTATCCTACAGCACCACACATAACTCTAAAAAGAGTATTGGCTAAGCTCATTGGCTTTCTGGTGGGGTCTGCTTTACTTACAAGCTGGGGGATCCCCTGAAGGGTGCGAACGCCATTGAGCAGCAGTCGTCCTAGGAGCTGTACATCCTTAAGGTTGACAAAGCCAAGCTCTTCTCCCAGGATACGAAGGTATGCTTTGGCTTCGGGGATTTCTTTGGACTTCAAATCGTTGAACAACTTCTGAATATTGTGCACGATCCCACTTATCATATCCTAGGAATTTGGAAAATAAAATGTCTAGTAAGATGTTCATACTATCATGACACTTTAGATTCCTGATGTGGGCACAGCCTGCAACCATAACAGACCTAAGCACAAACATCCAAAGTGGGAATACACTTGTGACAGGCTGTCACAACTGTAATTGTAGAAGATGTGTAACTAATAGCAGGGAGTAGTTCATCTTTCATTTCAGGAACAAAGGACCCCACATCTATCAAGAAGGAAGAGCATGAGTAGAGCGTGAGATCCTATTCAGAAAAGTGGCTACAGCAGAGACAGTAGCAAAGGTGATGGCATAGAGAGCTAGAGCAGTTGAGGACTGTAGGTCTATGGACTAAGAAAGGCTGTGTACCTACAGGCAGGAGACTGGCTTGCAAAATGTATTCTTTGGGCATTTAAATGAATATGCATATTTTGTTTTATATGTGTACATTAAAAAAACAAACAAAAACAAAACAAAGTTTTGTTGGGCAACAACAGGGCAGATGTTGTTGGTATTAGGTGTTGTTGAATTGGTTCTAAAGGAAACACTGAAATAACTCATAGTGACCCTACCCATAACAGAACAAAACATAGCCTGGCCCTGAGCCATTCTCACAATCATTGCTATGCTTGAGCCCATTGCTGCAGTCACTGTGTTAATTTATATCATTGAAGCCTTCCTCTGTTTCACGGATCCTTTACTTTCCCAAGCATAATATCCTTATTCAGGGACTTATTCCTCCCAATAACATGTTGATGTCTCACCATCTTCACTTCTAAGAAGTATTCAGATTTGATAATTCTTTTGGCAGTCCATGGTATATTCAATATTTTCACCAACACCACAATTCAAATGCACTACTTCTTCAGTCTTTCTTATTCATTGTCCAGCTTTTGCATGCATATGAGGCAATTGAAAATTTCATGGCTTGAGCCAGGACCAACTTAGTCTTCAAGTCTTTGCTCTTCAACACTTTAAAGAGGCCTTTTGCAATATATATCATTTGATTTCTTGATTGCTGTTTCTATCGATCCAATAAAATGAAATCTCTGACTTCAATATTTTTTTCTGTTTATCATGATGCTTTTTGGCTTAGTTGTGGGAGTTTTTTTTTTATGTTGAGGTGTAACCCATACTAAAGGCTGCCATCTTTGATCTTCATCAGTAAGTGCTTCAAATCCTCTTCACTTGCAACAAGTAAGTTTGTGTCATCTGTGTAACACAGGTTGTTAGTGCATCCTGCTCCAATGTTGATGCTGTCTTCTTTTTCCTAGTGTCCAGTTTCTCAGGTTATTTGCTCAGCATACCGATTGAAAAATATGATGAAAGGATACAATCCTGATGCATGCTTTAAAAAGTTTTAAACCATGAAGTATCTCCTTATTCTATTTGAATGAGTGCCTCTTAGACAAGTTTTACATTCACACCATTAATGTTCTGGAATTCCCACTTATGATTCACACAGTTAAATACCTTTGCATATCCAATAAAATACAGGTAAACAGTTTTCTAGTATTCTTTGCTTTCAGCTAAGATCCATCTGACATATGCAATGATACATCTTGTTTCACATCCTTTTCTGAATCTGGCTTGAATTTCTGGGAGTTCCTTGTCCATGTACTGCTGCAATCATTTAAAAATTGTCTTTAGCAAAATATTATTTGCATGTGCTATTAATGATGTTGCTCTTGTTGTTAAGTGCCATTCAGTCAATTCTGACCCATAACAACCCTGTATAGGGTTTCCTAGGAGCACCTGGTGAGCTTGAACCAGTGACCTTGCAGTTCAAATGACTTTGCAGTCTGACACATTAACCCACAGTGCTATACCAGGACTCCAATATTAATGATAGAGTTAAATAATACCCACATTCCACTGAATCATCTTTTTTCAGAATGGTCACAAATATGAGTTTTTCCAATCAGTTAGCACCTGGCATATATGAGTGAGCGCTTCCAACATTGCATCCATGAGTTGAAACATCTCAACTGGTATAACATTAGTTTCTGGAACCTTGTTTTTTGTTTGTCAAAGCCTCCAGTACAGCTTGGCCTCATTCCTTCATCACCATTGGCTCTTGATCATATGTTACTTCCTGAAAATTTTGAATGTTCACAAATTCTTTCTAATACAGGGCAGCCACTGAAATTCTTTCCAGTTGAAATGAAAACCAAGGTCTTGCCAGGGATAGAATGCTTTCAAAGCTACTCTTAACTTGAAATAATGTAGGAGAGTTAGGGGATATCTTCCTAGGGTTACCCAAACCTTGGACTCTCCAAGATTAGAAGGTCTACTGCTTTCCCCTGTTTCCTTTGACTAGGCAAGAATACAAGGAATTTATTGAGAAAATGTAGCTGGCATATAAATTGACCACAGGTTTGTAAAACATCTGATATTAGGTAAGGTCTAGAGAAAGAAGAATACCACAGATTGTGGCTCAGACGTTGAGAAAGAACAGACTGACAGAGCTAAAACAGATCAAAAACTCTCAGCCTCATGTTGAGCTACGTAAATTAGAAGATGGAAGTGGGGCTAGCTGTGAGCATCTAGGAATAAATTAGAGCAAGACTTCTCAAACTTGAATGTGAATGAATATAAGTCATCTGGGGATTTTGTTAAAATGCAGATTCTGATTCAGTAGGTATGAGGTGGGGCCTGAAAACCTGCATTTCTTATAAGTTCACACAGAATGCCTATGACCAGGCCACATTGAGATGTTTGGGATTATACAACCTATTTTCTGCTTCTAAAATGAAGCGTTCAGGCTAGTTTCAAGGTACATTTTGCTCCCTTTAGCTAGTGTAGTGATGTGAGAGCCAAAGAAAGCAATTAATAAGAAGAATATCAATTAAAAATTTTTATTAGTGTCTGCTTATTGAACACTCAGTGCCAGTATCAGGAACTATGTTTAGTGTTTAAAACACTTCATTTAATTCAATATTTATAATAATATTGTGATATATATGTTATCATCACTCTAGGGATGAGGAAATGGATCTATACAATATTAAGTAGCTTGATTAGGATTATGCAGTTTAAAGTTACTGAGATTTGAATTCAAATTCATGCCCCAAAGCTCACTCTCTTAATCACTGTTCTGGATACCTCTAATGACTCTGGTTCAAGGCATATTGAATTAGGACACCTATATCTCAATGTAAAGAAAACAGAAATCCTCACCACTGGATCAATAAACAACATTTTTATCAACGGAGAAAAGATTGGAGTTGTCAAGGACTTCATTCTTCTTAGATCAAATATCAATACTCATGGAAGCAGCAGTCATGAAATCAGACGACATATTGCATTAGGCAAATCTGCTGCACGAGACTTTTTTCAAGTGTTTAAGAGCAAAGATGTCAGCTTGAAGATTAAGGTGCACCTGACCCAAGCCATGGTATTTTCAGTAACCTCATATTGCCTGCGAAAGCTGGACAGTGAATAAGGAAGACTGTAGAAGAATTGATGCTTTTGAGTTATGGTTTTGGAGGAGAATACTGAAAGTGCCAGGGGCTGCCAAAAGAACCAATAGATCTGTGTTGGAAGAAGTGCAGCCAGAGTGCTCCTTAGAGGCCAGGATGGTCAAACTTCGTGTCTCATACTTCAGACATGTTGTCAGAAGGGACCAATCGCTGGAGTAGGATATCGTATTTGGTAAGGTGGAAAGTCAGAGAAAAAGAGGAAAACCCCCAGAGAGACGGATTTTCAAAGTGGCAGCATCAATGGGCTCACGCGTGGCAACAATTGTGAGGTTGGCCCAGGATCGGGCAGTGTTTCATTCTGTTGTGCATAGGGTTGCTATGAGTTGGTACTGACTTGATGGCACCTAACAACAACAACAACAACTTAGCTGTAGAGGTTATTGACCCTCAACCTCATAAACCAATACCCCAAACTTGTTGTCTTGGAGTCAATTCCAACGCACGGTTACCGCATGTGTAACAGAGCAGATCCGCTCCATGGGGGTTTCTTGCTGTAATCTTTACAGAAGCAGACTACCAGGCTTTTCTTCTGCAGATTCACTGGCTGGGTTTGAACCAAGTTTTAGGGTAGTTGTTGAGCACAAACGATTCGCACCACTCAGGGATCCATGTTGTTATTAAGTGCCATTGAGCGAATCAAACTCATAGTGGCTCTGTATAGGGTTTCCGAGGAGCAACTGATAGGTTTGAACAGCTGAGTTTGTGGTTCAAAGTCCAGTGCTTATCTGACAGTGCCACACCCATAAGGTTCATTGACAATAGCCATACTTCTCACTACAGTTATATAGTACATTGATGACATCCAGGCTTAGATAAGAATGTCTTTGCATTGAGACCCCAAACTTTTCTTGAGAGGATAATTAACAAGTACATACCTGCTCATGCTTATCATCTTTGCTATAGCCTAAGTGGTCTATCAAGACCTTGGAGACCTCAGCAGGAACTTGGCCATCAACCCAGTACAAAGCCTTGTTGACACTGTCTGGGAAAAATCCTTTTTTCCCAAAGAGAGCTTCCAGTGTTGGTTCAAAACCCTTTCCTTCCAAACCAATCTGAGAACAAAACAGAAAATTAGGCAAGGAAACGCTATCAGGTTTTCTTGTTGGATGCCAGTCTCCCATTTCTCTCTTTATGTCTATTTAACTAAACAACTATTTATGGATACTATCGGGCAAGAACTAAGTTTAGCTCTTCATATAAACGTCTTATTTAAATCTCATTGGAATTTTGAAAGGCAGAACTTGTTTACCTTTTTACAAAAGAGAAAACTGAGGCTCAGAGACGACAAATAATGAAACCAAAGATATAAAGTTGGGAGGAGATTTTACTCCATCACCCAGAACTTCCAAGGGTTTTGAATTTAAGGGCTTCAAAGCTAAGATAGCTGCATGTCTTTTTACCCTAAGGAGCCATGCTTCAGATGACCCCTAGCGGGGAGAGAGGAAAGTAAAGGAAGTGTGGTGAAGAAGACCTCAGAGATGGTACAAATCGCTTGATGATCTTTTTCTTCTCTAGACTGAACCACACATCCCCTGACTTCCTATTTATGGTTTTGTACAAAACAGGCTACAGGATTCAGTATCACACATACCTCGAAGAGGTCAACTGCAGAAAATCCAAAGATTGTGAGGGTGGTTTTCAGCATGCTTTCTTTAGGAATGTAATTATTTGGATCAAATATAAGATTCCCTTCAATTTTGGTTGAGACTGGGCCAAGTGATGGAAGGGAAACAGATTTGGAAAAGCGATAGTTCCCAGAAAATTTTTTGAAATCCATGATGGTTGGAAGTTGAGATCCTTTAAGAGCTTCTTCCACTAATGTTTTCAGACTAGATGAAAACAGGAAGCATATTTTGAGCTGACATACCATGCTATTTATCCATTGTCTCAATTATCCCAACTGAACATGAATTTCCATTTGTTACCAAACTATTCAAGCATAGTTTCCTCAAGGCTTTGACTCAAGAGTATGTCACAAATTTATACAAGTATTTGCTACAGAAGGAAGCACACCCCATAAACCCAGGTAGTGGCTATAACAGATTGTTGTTGTTAAGTATCGTGGAGTCGATTCTGACTCATAGTGATCCTACACAGGGTTTCTGAGACTGCAAATCTTTACAGGAGCAGAAAGCCTCATCTTTCCCCGTGGAACAGCTGGTAGTTTCGAACTGCCGGCCTTGAGGTTAGCAGCCCGATTCGTAACCACTATGCTACCAGAGATTGGAGCTTTAGAACTCTAATGTAGAGCTCTTTAAGGCAGATAGGGGGATATTAGTCTTACTTACTCTTGGATATAAAAATCTTCTGAGTTTAAGATGTTGGCAATGTGGGTAGCCACAAAATTCTTCACTTGCTCATTCTTCTCCCTTGGGAGGAGTTGTACAATTCTGTTAATATCTGGCTGGGAAGGCCCCTTCATCAGCATGAGATAGGCAGCCAGTCGTTTATCCATTGGAGAAGCACCATTGAGGAAAGTTTGAAGAAGGACTTTTTGGACCTGTAGCCAGAAGAGAAGACTATTATTACTATCCTTTGGTCAGAATGCCAAATGTGTGATAAACAGTTGCATGGTCTGCTAGTTTTTTCTAATGTACAAGTCTGATTTCCCCCTAATAAGTCTTTATATCTGGTACTGAGTCTTCTTTCTACTATTCTCTAGAGCAGCCAGATCAAGTGAGGTTTTCCTGGACGACTATTAAAAATACACATGGAAACAAATTACATTAAAATATACAAGTTATGCCCAAGCTATGACTAGTTTGGGACTCTATCACTAAGTGAAAATAAATTTGGGCACACATTATTTCAACTTGAATGTAAAGATTTGCAGGATTTGTTAGACTCTGGGGCTAATAAATGACACTATTCCCAAAGACTCATTACTATTGAAAGTAAGACCAGATTGAGTACTCTCATTTGGGGATATGGGAGAAAATTAAGAATGTTCTCCCAAGATAAGGGTGTCAGTCAGTCTGGTAAGAGAACCAGATATGGATCAATCCTCATAGTCTGCATGTTGGAGTAGGAGCAAGGTTAGATACTTTTCTCTTGTGATCACATTGACAATCAAGTCAATAGACTTGTTGAATTTTACAACTAGTAAACAGTAGAATAAATTCATGAGTCAGAATACACTTGATGTCAATGATATTTTTAGATAAAGTTAGTAGAATCATGACATTTAGAACCTTGTTCACTGGTACTCTCCAATACCTCGTTAATTGGAAAAAACCTCTCACTTTTAGCCCTCCTATGGATTTTACCTCTTTGTTAGAGACCATTTTCCTCAGGGCCTGGATAGCAGCTTTCTGAATCAGCAGTGATGGCTCTGTACTTTGGATACATTTCAGGACTGAAGACTTCAGTCTTGGGGTTACTTGATCCATGGCTGATCCCATATTTCCAATGACCTGAGTTGAAGAAAAGAAACAAGTTAGCATCCAGGTGAAGAAGGAGGAATGAAGGTGTTAAGGAAAATTATTTCTGAAATGAAACATTTTATACAAAATACTGAAAGTACCCTCAGAGTCAAGTAGATGAGATCTTGGTCTCCAATGCAGTTATTATGAATCTGTGCCAACAGGTACTCCACAATGTCTAACAGGATCTGGGCCTGCGGTGTTGTTTTATGATAGCTACAGAATAAAAGAGAGTTAGGACTCAGTAAATCTAGCTAGGCTGCTCTGAAAATCCAAGCTTGTGTTTGCCAGTTTCTTATTTCAAGTCATTACTTCAAAATGGTCATCAGAAAAACAAAACAGCAAGCAGAAGTGTTAGAAAGTGGAGGGAGAGGTATCATTTTAATATAGAGTTGTGGGGACATCCTCAGTGTAAATCCACTCACTTGTTAACCACATGGCTCAGAGCATAGAAGGTGGCCCGGCTTTGCTGCTCCTTTGCAGTGTTGAAGATCTCCCGCACCATGTCTTCGGAGGGCTCTGGGATCAGGGACATTAGGTAGGTAACGACATCTATGAGAATGGGGTTAGCTCTCTCACTTTTCAGCCACTGGAGGATATTAGTGTAACACTGTGGCTGTCCGCACTGAACCAAGGCTTGTAAAGTAATGGGACTGAAAACAAAAAAGGAGAAAGTTAAATGGACCACCTTCAAGGAAGACAAACTCTCCTTCACCCAGGGTGTTTCCTTTGTCAGAGGTGCACTTAACTTCCTTTGTTCACTATGCAAATCAATCATCTTTCAAAATCCAACTCTGGTTCTTAAAACCATGAACCCTTTCCTTCCTCAGTCCCTCTTTTGCTCCTCAGAGCACTTAGAGACAGTGAGTGTCATGAAGTGGACATGTCAAATTATTATTTATTTGAGAGTTCTCTTCATTTAATCTATGAGCTCCTAGAGGTCACAGACTTCTTCTTTTACTCTCAAACTTTCCAGAGTACCCACAACAGAGCTAGAAACTCTATACAGGGTTGTTATGAGTCCAAGCTGATGTAACAAAAACAGAAGGGTTGTCAAAGTACATATTCCTACTGCTTGACTTCACAGGCTGTTATGTTATACAATGAGGTAATGTTAAAAAAAAAATGTGTAAAAATCGTGGTTCCAATTTTCAGACACTAACATTTCTCCTTACCTCTCCATTTTAACACAGAAATACATATCTGCCTTGGATACAGTGTGTGTGTGTGTGTGTGTGTTGCTCAAAGAACTGTAAGCTTTCTGAGGCAAGGCACATTGGCTGATATTTCTTTACAGCAAACATTAATTGATTAACTACTTGACTAATGTGGCATTTAAATGGTACCCAAGATTCTCTCTCTGGCTAAGATTTGAAAGTTTAGTAGTTATCGTGGGTTACGTGAGATAATGAGCTGCAGCATCAAAGAAATACCTGGACACCTCGTTCAGCTTTGGCAAGAGGGATGCAACTGCTTCATTGTTGAGGCCTCTTAGCTCAGTAACCAGTTTGTTGAAGAGGTTAGCTCTCTGGGCATTCTGCTCAGAAACAGACAGTTTTTTCAGTTCCTGGAGGGTTTTCAAAATGGCCTCTGCCTGCTTTGGAGGTGATGTGGATTCGGTAATCTCAAAGGCAAGGCCCACCTTCTCAGCACCTGAAAGAATGCAATGTGTCACAGGTGTTCTTGTTTACCTTTGCATCTCAACCATATCTTTGTATATTGGAATCTGGACATTGAGGAAAAGACTGAAAAATTATCTTGTCCTCATTGCCTAGTTTATGCTGTGTGCTATGTGTTTATTATATTCTTGTCACAGAATCATCACAATATTCCTTCAGGTTGTTATTATTCCCCCCTTTGAAGTAGAAAGTATCAATTTAATTTGTCCAGTAATACTCTGGGACTAACGGGCAGAGTCAAGTTTGTCTAAATTCAGTATCATGCACGTCTTTGCTGGATGGAACTGGTGAGGAGGGGCTGCTGCTGACATGGCTACAGCTGAACGTCACCCACCATTTCTTCTAGATGGATCTACTGGCTGCTTGTGGGAAGAGGAGATACTTGGGTATCTTCTGCATCATTCTGTTCTGAGACATGCCAGGGAGGGAGGTAAAAACATGGAACTGTGGTACAATGGAAGAGATCTGACTTATCATACACCTTGGGGCGAACTCTGTGCTCGCTCTCATACTTGCTGACCTTGAATAAATCAGTATTCCTCTCTATGTGTAATTTCACTGTTGTATAACCACTGGACTACTAACTGAAAGTTTGGTGGCTCAAACCCACCAGTCACTCCTCAGAAACTCTAGACAGTGTTACTATGAGTCAGAAACAACACTATGGCATTTAACATCAACCGAAGAATGGTTATAAAATCACATGCTCCTACAACTTGACTTCACAGGTGCTATGTTATATGACAAAGTAATGTATAACAAAGAGGTTTGGCAGGCTTAAATATAATACAAACACAGGGTGTTAAGGTGGACTACAGATCTCTGAAGACCCTTCCAACTCTAAAGATTGATTCCTGGGATTATTATCTGGCTAGATTCTAAAGGTTTCCTTCCGCTTGCCCTAGCACATCCAGGCCCCAGACTGCTGCATGGGGCCCTGCAACCACATGATGTTGTCAGTCTACCAAAGGGGTCACATTAAGATACCACTTTCCAGTCTGATGTTCCACTATGAAAACCTTAGGAGTTTTGAGAAAGTATGCCCCTCCTCCTATTAAAAAAATTTTTTTTCTCACTGCTTGATGTTTTGAAATGAATTAGCTTTTTTTTTTTTTTTTTTACTAGAGATAGTTCAGCAAACAGACCATCAACAACTTAGCTCATTAATCAAGGCCCAGCCAGGAGTTAAGCCTTGGTTGCTGCATGGGCCTATCACCTAGGCCTGGCAAGCATGTGGACGTATAGGCCTACCTTCATTAAAGAAGCGACTGTTGATCTTAGGTGTGTCTTCAAGTTTCAAAGACTGTGTAACATGTGTCATCATTCCATATTTATTCCTGGTGACAAAGAAAGTGGGTCATGCCACTGATAGTCAGTGCCTGTCTTGTTTTCCCAACACACTCATTTTTTCATATTGAATGTTTTCCCCTTCAGTTTCTACCCAAATCTTGGCCCTATTTCTAAGTGTGTTTAAATCCTGCTGTCTCAGACTCATTTAATGAACAACATTCACCCTCTTGGACATACTTGTCATCCATCCATCAGAAGGATGTGTACCTTCTACTCTCCTCTGGTCTGGGGTACCCACAGGATAGGGACAAACACGGTGCATTCAAATTATTTAGTGTGTCTAATAACACAGTATATCCGAAGTATGAGGACCAGACAGTGTTTCATTCTGTTGTGCATGGAGTAGCTATCATTCAGAACCTACTCAATGGCACCTAACAATAACACAACACAGTTCCCAAAATATAGCAGTTACTCAATTAACAAAAGTTGACGGCTAGTTTTATAAATAGATTTGAGTACACATATCCCCAGCCCAAATTTCAAATATTCTAAAAATTTCTAACCAAAGCAGCATGTAAATATTGCAACTTTTTGTTGAGTTACAGCCCTTAGGAAGGAGCTCTGGTAGCGTAGTGGTTATGAGTTGGGCTGTTAACCTCAAGGTCAGGAGTTCAAAACTACCAGCAGTTCTGCAGTAGGAAAATGAGGCTTTCTGCTCCCGTAAATATTTATAGCTTCAGAAACTCTATATAGGGTTGTTATGAGTCAGAACTGACTCCATGGAATACCACCTCCACCTCTACCACAGCCCTTAGCATCTAGATCTGGGATCTCTTTGAACTGATTTAAACGTCTAAGACTTGCCTGACAAATTACCTGTGAGTCTGGCAAGGGGAATAGGAATAGGGATTGTAGCTCCCTTGCTAGCTTGGTACTGGGAAGTGTTCAGCTCACATTAACCCCCTTAAATGATAGGTCAAGAGTGCAGTTGGTGACCTACTTATATGAGAAAGGCAGGAAGAGATGTTGCTCTTTGCAGATTGCTTCTGACACATGCTTTCTCCTGGAATCCAGGGTGTATTGGCAGGACTGGCTGCTGCTGATCAGAGTTGACAAGGAGCGGGTCTGTGCATGAGATGAGGGAAAAGCATTGTGGTCAGTCCTCATGGCTTGTACCTGAGGCTTCTATTATACCCTCAAGAGGGTCCTATACTACTTGATAAGCTCAGTAAAAGAAGCAAGCTTGATATTTGGCATTTAGACAAGAGGATGCAACACCTTAGCATCTCCAAATCTGAATCAAGGTGTAGAATCTTTTTAACCTCATTTTGATGAGTCAATTTTGCATCTGTTGCATCTGTTGAGTCAGTTCTGACTCGTGGTGACCCTATGTGCATCAGAGTAGAACCGTGTTCCATAAGGTTTTCAATGGCTGTGACCTTTCAGAAGTTGATCACCAAAGCAACTCAGGGTGGGTTCAAACCACCAAACTTTTGTCCAGTAGTCTAGTGCTTAACCATTTACACAACCTTTTGTTATTTTTCCTGTGCTCTTTCTTATGCATTTCTTCCATTTACACATCTTTTGGGCTTTTCAGATCCATGCTCCACATGCTCTATGAAACTTTAGGCCCAGTGAGCTATCTGACTCATACATATGAGGGGACTACAAAAAGTTTGTGGAAAAATCTCATTGCCTTTTCATTTAATTTTTCCAGGAACTTTTTGAAGCACTCTCATACTTTCCCCTTTGTAGGACTGCTCATCTGTACTGTTGAGCTGATCACTTTCTTGGGGTACACTATATGCTGTTCTCTACTGCCATGTGTAAAAACCTTGTTACTGCATTAGCCTGTTAGCATCTTGAAAAGCAGGTCAATGGTTCATCTGCCACAGTCCCTGCCTCAGTACTGCCAAGAGTATATAGCAGGTGCTTAGAAAAGATGCACAAATCAGTGGTCCTTGTGTTCATTGGACTCTCTGTTTTTGGCCCCAAGGTCAATGACCAGGGACATTGTTGGGTATGGCAGTGATTGCTCAAGTCCCTTGTATTTACTGAGATAACCTGTAACTTATGTTCCAGAGGATGATACAAGATCAGGGGTTGAGAAAGCATAGGTGATATTGTACTCCATGACCCTAGTTAATGGGAGTGAAAGTTAGAACTCAGAGGGTAGCCCAGACAGCCAGCAGAGGGGTCAGACTTTGATCCAGGTCATAACTGGGATAGAAGGACATGAAATTGAAACACTTTGGTTTAGTCAGTTCCTCTCTATGGGAGTGAGGGAGAGGAGTAGGGGAATGAATGTCTTGAGACTTCCTCTGAGGCCAGAGTTGGAACTGGGGTCTTCCAGTCCTTGCACAAGAAGGAAGAGTAGGTATGTTTGCTGTCCTATGCCAAGATGCAGACAGAGTAATTACTCTCAAGTGACAGCAAAGGGTTTAGTGCCAGTGATAAAAAAAGACAACAGAAGAACAAGAGTGCTAGACTGGACGTCTAGGACCCAATCCTAGTCCTGGCTCTATTAGCAATGGGTCATATCCATATGTCTTTGGCAAGTCTTCAGTGTCTAGTACTCAGTTCCTCATCGGTAAAAATAACAGGCTGGCCAGGTTCTTTTCTGAGCTCCCTACTATTTCTAACAGAAATTTGACAACAGAGAAAATACCTGATTAACAATGCTGATAGGAGACTTACCATGCCTTTGATTAGAGCAAGTGGGCTAACACCTGTGCTCATGGGCTTGAAGTGATCACATTTCTCCAGATTTCTTTCAATGGATACCTCTGTCGCCACATTTCCTGTTCTTGTTTTAACAATAAAGTCACTGGAGCAGTTTCCATATACAGTATCCTATGGGAGGAGAAGGTACAACGAGATACATTCAATGTGTGTGTGGGGTGTGTATGGGGAGAGGGGTCGGGAGGGGCTATCTGTAGTGCTTCATAAGGGCTGGGAAAGGAGCCTGGGAGAAAAGGGAGAAGTACCAGAATTTGCAATGGTGTTTCTTCTGTGGGGTATGGGCCTTGCTGATACTTGGATAGCCAGAGTTGTGAGAGAGAAAAACAGTTCAGGGTGGTTCTGGGGCTGGAAGCTAGTCATCCCTGTCTTGCCTTTAGGAGGTAGGCAACTCTGACATTCTATTCTGTGCTCTCAGGCATTTGCTCTGTCTTGCTCAGTGCAGCATGTATTCTACTCTTCCTTGTGTTGTATCTATCTAGACTCTTCCCACAAAATGTATTTCTGTATTCTCCAGTCTAGTAAAGAACACAGAACACTATAAGGGCTCAAGAACATTGTGGGGCTGAAGTAAATGGAATTCTTTCTAAGGTCAAACTTGAAGTTCTTAAAAGAAGGTGACAACATATTGACTTACTTTTGTGTTTAAAATAAAAAAACACAGACTTTGCTGTATTATACCTCATGGGAATAGGAAACAAAACCAAACTATTAACTGCTTTTAAATTATATCTAACCTGATCAGGTAAACTGCTAAGGGTGAACTGTTGTACTTTTCCGAGGGGCAGCGCTTTCTTAGCCTTGCTGGTAGCTCTGGGTAGGACAGGGGGAAACCTGGGAAATCTGACCAGTGGTATTTCACACCAGGATACCTCAGGTGGAAAGCTGTGTAAATAGGCCAATGATTCATTTCATGTACACAGTGGGGCTTCAATGAGTTAAACAAAGATGAATTTAACTGACTGGATGGCACGTAACAACATTGAATTAGAAGAATTAAATTAGAAGAATGGATGCATTTGAGTTATGGTGTTGGAGGAGAATATTAAACCCATGGACTGCTAGAAGAACAAACAAATTTGTGTTGGAAGACGTACAGACAGAATGTGCCTTAAAAGTCAGGTTGGCCAGACTTTGTCTCTCGTACTCTGAACATATTATCAGGAGAGACCAGTCCCGGGAGAAGGACATCATGCTTGGTAAAGTGCAGGGACAGCAAAAAAGAGTGAGATCCACCCAATTAAATGGATTGGCACAGTGGCAGCAATAATGGACTCAAGGATAGCAGCCACAGTGAGGATGGCACAGGCCCAGGCAGTGTTTCATTCTGTTGTGCATGGGGTCGCTGGCACCTGACAACAACAGCATCACGGATTTTACAAATTCTCACCAGAAACATCACTTGTTTGGCCTCTTCTGTCTCTGGAGGAACCAGAAGGGCAGAAATGATGCCCCTCTTGATGTTCAAGATGTGTTTGGGTTCATCCTTGTTTGGATAAAGTAAAACCTGCTTCCCTTCAGGAATGGTCAGCCTGAGCTCGTACCTATTCCAGGGAGAGAGCGAGATTGCATGGTCAGAGAGTTGAGATAGAAAAAAAAAAAAAAAAAAAAAAGATGAAGAAAAGTTCATTAAATGACCTTAGACAAAACAACGACAAAATCTTTATATGAATATGCTATGCTATGAGTCAAAACTGACTCCACGGCACATAACAACAACATTGCCTACCAACATCTATATAGCAGCCCATTGGGAGGTTGCCAGAAGTAAGCTGGAGTAATTTTGCAGGTTCTTTCTTATTTTTCTCCTTTTAACAACATTTAAAAAATAAAACATAAACATTTTCAAGAGAGAGACAAAGAATGAGAGAGAAAGAGAGAGAGAGTCCTGGTGTGGTGCTGTGGGTTAATGTGCCAGACTGCAAAGCTGTTTGAACTGCAAGGTTGGTGGTTCAAGCTCACCAGCTGCTTCTCAGAAACCCTATATAGGGTTGCTATGGGTTGGAATCGACTCAACAGCACTTAACAATAACAACAACAAATTATATATATATATATTTGTTGTTGTTGTTAGGTGCCGTCGACTTGGTTCCTACCCATAGCGACCCTGTACAGGGTTTCTGAGGGTGTAAATCTTTATGGGAGTAGAAAGCCTCATCTTTCTCCCGTGGAGCGGCTGGTAGTTTCGAACTGCTGACCTTGAGGTTCGCAGTCCGATTCGTAACCACTATGCTACCAGAGCTCCTATATATATATATATATATATATATATGTATTTGTTGTTTTTCTTCTTATGGGTACACATATAAACATAAAGACTTTTGCCATTCATTGTTTGTCTTATATGAATGGGATCATATTATGCATTGATTCATTTTTCTTTTTGCACTTAATGAAAATTCTTCTGGGTAATTTGGTGTCATTCTAACACACTTTTTAAAAGTTACATTCCAAACCTGCCCTTTGGTTGTTTAAATGATTATATATTCCTGAGTGTTTTTGTGTACCTCAAAACAAAAACAAAAAAACAACAACCCCAAAACAGAGGGAATAGAAGCAAATGCTGTTGAATTCTGATGCATGGAGGGGATTATAATAATTGCAATGAAACAAAATACGACAGGATGAGTGCCAAATTGATGTTCTCCCATGTAAACTATTACTCAATTCACAATAAAAGCTTTTTTAAAAAAGTTACATTCCATTCCATTCTATGTTTATATAATTATATAAAATTTACTCAGACATTCTCTTGTTTGATGGCATTAATTTTATATTTATTATTGTGATTACTGCCACACAAATAATACTGAAATACCCATCCTTGTTCATATAGCTTTAGGCATTACTGCTTTTACTTTTATGGGCCATAGTCTTAGAGATGACTGAGATTGCTGTATCAAAGGGCGTAAGTATTTGAGTCATCATAGATATTCCTTAGCAACTCATATTGGCAATGATAATGCATGTGAGTGTGTTTCCCTATACTCCTGCCAGCAACAAGCACTATAGAAGTTTTAAAGTCTGACTGGTATAAAGTAATTGACAGCTCATTGTTAAAATGATTTGCGTTTCCTGATTACTAGTGAATTTGAATTTTTCATGTGCTTGTCAGATATTCTGTCTTTTATAGGCTCCCCAGCCATGACTGAAGGAGTCCCTAGGTGGTGCAAACAGTTAAGCATTTGGCTATTAACCAAAAGGTTGGCAGATTGAACCCACCTAGAGATGCCTTGGAAGAAAGCCTGGTGATCTATCTCTAAAATATCAGTTACTGAAAACCCTGTGGAGCACAGTTTTACTTTGACACACATGGAGTTGCCATTAGTTGGAATTTACTAGATGTCAACTACTAGGGCCATGTCTGAAAGCTGAGTTGCCTCTGGCCTTAGGGAATCGGTGGTGGGAGAGTTAGGGTTTTACTTTGGGAAATCCAGAGGGTCTGGATGTACCTACTCTAGTTAATTCAGAAAGAGAATAAGGAAGCCAGGTGTGTCTCCTATAGCCACAGCAACCTCCCAGGAAGTTCTGACCCATGATACAGCCGGGACAGTCTGGCTGTGGTCAAGAGCAGGACTCCATTTGTTCAATGAAGAAGGGTAAGGATTAAAAACTGTTACTCCATCTCATGACTGCCCATCTCCCAGCACAGTTCTGTGGGATAGGGTAAGAAAGACAGATGGTGCCAAGATACAACTGGCAGAGAAATAACTGGTTTTCAAATCTAATGTTCAAAACACCAAAAGATGGACACATCAGTGACTACCTATATTCATAAACACTTAGATACTACAAACTGTGGTTTGGGGCTGAAAGAGGGGTGGTTCTCAAAATATTAAACATTTGCTATAATACTGGAATTGAGCCATCAAAAGAGATGGCAACTGTGTTGCACCACAAGGATGCCCTTATCTGCTGCACTGGTTGTATGCTAGCCCTGGGAAGGGGAGTCACTATGGCCTTGGCTCACCCCTGCTTTCTTAGGCCTGAACCTCACCTTCCCCAAGCAGACCCTGCACTCATAACACAATGTCACAGTGCACATCCTACCAGGACCCACACCTAGGATCACCAGGGACAAGTTTAATTCTTGAAACAAAAATTCACTGTCTTACACAAACTGTCTCCACCTTCACTATTTCAATGAGTTTGAAATATGTGATCTTTCAGAAACACATTTAATTGACAATTATGGAACTTAACCAGGAGGGTAAACAATGCTTTAGTCTTTTCGATTGTTGTGGAAGACACAGAAGGCAACTCACTGACCCATGGTGAATAGAGAATACAAATGTTTATACTAATGTATATGCCTAATGTGAACAACAAATTCACACCTCAGTGGACACACTTGGCACATATTCACAAGACATGCAGGGATGCGCAGAGCTCAGACACTTAAGTAGACATGCTCATGCCTTACTTGGACATGGCGGTGGAAAACTCCTCAGAGTTCTTGGTCTTCTTCAGCAAGGGTTCGCCTTCAGGGTTGATGCCATACACCTCTTTCAGGGTGCACTGGTTTGTCTTCAGGATAAAGTTACAGAGTTGGGGCACCTCCAGCTCGACCTTAAAGGGAAGATGCACACTGAGACTTTTCAACTAGAACACAGATGCCCCTCATATTCCAGGGCTTAGTCTCGAATCAAGACAACAAGGGAGATGTCGCTGTGAATATGACTGTCTGCTCCCTCAACATCCCATGTCTCCTTAACATGCTTCCATGACTCAATCTAGATTTAGTCCTACTTTTGGCTTTCTCACTATCTTGTGATACCATTTAAAAAGTTTTCCCAGTGGCTCCCTGTTCATCTGAAGGACGATGTCTTTTATTGGTTCTAATTTACTTATAAAGAGATGTTATTAGTTAGATGAAGTGAAGAGTGGGATAAGCGTAGTGGTTACGAATCGGACTGCGAACCTCAGGGTTAGCAGTTCGAAACTACTAGCTGTTCCGAGAGAAAGATGAGGCTTTCTGCTCTTGTAAAGATTTACAGCCTCGGAAACCCTGTACAGGGTCGCTATGAGTCGGAACCAACTCCACAGCACATAACAACAACAACAACAACAGCATGGGGCAGGAAGAAGGCAGACTTGGTTTCAACAGAATAAATTTTCTTAATATCATCAAAACGAACAAACAAACAAACAATCTATCAGAGCTTGTTTGGGGCTTCACATGCAGCTGAATTTAAACAAATTTCTAATTGTTATCCAGTGCTGTTCAAAGAGCTTTTTGTTATGGTGGCAGTGGCGGTGATGGTGGTTGTGTGCCACCGAGTCAGTTCTGATTCATAGCGGCCATGTATAGAGTTTTCAAGGCTATAAATCTTTACAGGAGCAGAAAGCCTCATCTTTCTCCCATGGAGCAACTGGTAGATTTGAACTACTGACCTTGCAGTTAGCAGCTCAGCTCATAAAGCACTATACTACCAGGGCTCCTTGTGATGATGGAAATATTCTATATTTGCACTGTCCAATATGGTAGTCACTAGCTACCTGATGTAGACTCCTGGTGTGGTTCTGTAGGATCAGCACTGGACTGTGAACTACAAGGTTGGTAGTTCAAACCCAAAGTTGCTCCTTGGGAATGTTATACACGGTCACTTGGAACTGACTCAATGGCACTTAACAACAAGAAGCCACCTGTAGCTATTGGGTACTTGAACTATAGTTAATGTGACTAAGGAACTGATTTAAAACTTGTATTTAGTTTAAATAGCCACACGGATAATGCAGACATTGGAATCCTATAAAGAAGAGGACAATTCCTGCTCTCTCTTCCCTATACCAGCCCTAGCAACAGCCTTTACATCTTGCTACATATGTATATGGATGTAAGTACACTCCGAGCCCTGGTGGCTAATGTGGGCTAATGTGCTGTACTGCAAAGTTGATTTGAATCATAAAGTCACCAGCACTTAAAGCTCATCTCCTGATCCTTGGAAATCCTATACTGGGTCCTATGGATCAGAACTGACTTGACGAAGTTAACAACAACAACTGTCAGTCCCAATGATAAGTTGACAATTTTATTTTAAAGTAAACAGTTCAGAACTTTTCTCTTTGTAGCAATTGATTCTGTTTGACATAGATTTTTGGATATGCTAAAAACTGCACACCACAGTGCTTTCCTAAAATTCCTACCTCCCTAGCAGCACACTCATTGAACATCTTCCATCATGTTCAAACCGACAATCAGGTAGTGCTGACATTTTAGGGCATGTATTCCTCTTAAAGCTTTGAAGCTATGGGCAAAACAAATTGAATGGGAACATTTTCAGAGGCTGACAACTTCTCAGCAATGTGGTTGATTTACAAAGTGAGGGCTGGTCCCAGAACAGTAGAGCTGGCATGTGCTGGGTATGGTAGCACACAGCCTCTTTAAGATCATGGACACATAGTCAAGATAGACTGGGGAAAGCGGCAGGCTCCAGCTTACACCAAGCTCCACTCTCATACCTTGCAGATGATCTTGGTGGCACTTCTTGAATCAGCAGTCCCAGGGACTCCACTGGAACTCTCAGCCTGGTAGTTATAAACATACTTCCTGAGGTGCTTGAATCGAGTTGCATCTTCTAAAATGTGGAGAAATTAGTCAACCACAAAGCAGAAATAATTCTGTTAAGGACACTCAATCCGGAACAAAGAGGAGCAGTGGCACAGATAATAAAAAATGGTAATGAAACTGATTTTTAATAGGCTTTGCATTAGACTTAGTTTTCTTCTGTATAGACATACCTCAGAGACTTTGAGCATCCAGTCCAGACCACCGCAATAAAGTGAGTCACACAATGTTTTTGTTTTCCCAGTGTATATAAAAGTTATTTTACACTAAACTTAGTCTATTAAGTGTGCAATAACATAATGAAAGATTTGAAATATTTTGAGAATTGCCAAGATGTGACACAGAGACAGGAAACATGTGCGTGCTCTTGAAAATGGTTCCAGTAGACCTGTTTGACTCAGTTTTGCCACAAACCTTCAATTTTTAGAAGCCATAGTATGTGTGAACAGCAATAAGGCAAAGTGCAATAAAACAAGGTTGTTATTGTTAAGTGCTATCGAATCGGTTCTGACCCATAGCGACCCAAAACAAGGTTTCTGAGGCTGTAAATCTTTACGGGAGCAGAAAGCCTCATTTTTCTCCCGTGGAGCAGCTGATAGTTTCAAACTGCTGACCTTGCAGTTCACAGCCCGATTCATAATCACTAAGCTACCAGAGCTCCTTAAAGCAAGGTATACCTATAGATTTAACTTCCCTGTTATGTTTTTGGAGTCTTGGTGTGGCACAGTGGGTGAATGCACTGTAGGGTCACTTTGAACCACGAGGTCAGAGGTTCAAGCTCACTAGCCGCTCCTCAGAAACCCTATACAGGGTCACTATGAGTCGGTACCAACTTAATGGCACTTAACAACAACAACATTATGTTTTTACTGAGCCTAAAACCATGGTGATGCAGTGGTTAAGAACTCAGCTGTTAACTGAAAGGCTGATAATTCGAACCCAGCCGATACTCCATGGAAGATAGTTATGCCTGTTTGCTTTTATAAAAATTACAGCTTTGGAAGCCTGATGATTTCCAAAGACAGTTCCATTCTATCTTATAAAGTCACTGTGAGTCAGAATTGACTCAAAGGCACACAATCACAAGGTTTAAATTAACTAGATTTTGCATTCCTTGAATATGTCATCTGCAGTGCAGGGAAGATAGTGTCAATGAATTAGTCTCAGAGAATCTATAGAAATAAACTCCTAAACTAAGTTTTGACAGCATTAAGCAAAAAGGATATGCTATCTCTGCTACCTTCTTCAGTGGAAAATGTCATAATCCTGTGACTGTTTTTTAAATTCTCCGACGTCTGTGAGTAAACATTTATTAAAGGTTATCTTAATGTCTTAAGAAACCTTCATAAATAAATGTCTGGAGATTTCTATTGTGCTTGAGAAGAATTTTCTGAACCATTTGAGTAAAAACTGGCAAAGAGCATCTGGATCATGAACCCAGATGCAGTGATAAAGTAAAACCACCAGATGGCAGTGCTACCCCACGAGACGCCAATGCTGGTACTTTGCTAAGAGCACAGTAAGGTCAGCCCCTTTGACCCTTAGGGGTCAGGTAAATATGAGGAGGTGGGGGTCTGGAATTTTGCACAAAGGTTAAAGTCAGTGTTTCCTCACCTTCATGCTCTTCAAATGAATGATTAACTATTAATGAACAGTATGATTATGATCGCTTTTAAGTGTTCACGGGTCAACAGAGTGACAGTCCCACCCTCCCCTTACCCCCAGACTGAGCTTTCGGAGCAGAACAAAAGGTCAAGAGGAAGAGAGTTCAGATTCCTTGGGGTAGGCAGAAAAGCAAGGGACCCACTTCCTGGGGCGTCAGATCACTGCACACCCCCAATAGCATTCCAACATCACAGAGTGGGGGTCCCTAGTGAGTGGAGAGGTTCAGAAGAATGGGTTGGTACTGCAGGGCACCCTCCCGTGCCCAGTGGGGGGAATGCCTTACTTGGACAACTGGGGCTGACATTTTCCAGCGCTTTGTCTTCTGTAAGAAAAGGAGAAAAAAACAGTATGGGTTTTCACATGCCTTCCCAGACGATCTGACATGGAGGGAGGGTCTGCATGGGTCTTTTCCTTTTTACAACAGATTCAGGTTCAGGGAACCCACTCTCCAGCCCTTTAGGCCTAATCTCGAGTTTGGAGGACCCAGTTGGTACTGTAGCTCGCTCTAGCTCCAGGCCCTGTAGAAGTCCAGGCCAAAGGCTGCCTTCCCTCATATACAGGCTGAAGTGGCCCAGCTAAAGCCCTGGCGCTGTTTCCACCATTGTAATTCCTCCTATTGGATCAGTTCCTCCAGTCTCCCACGGGAGACATCCCCCATGCCCTCCTGAGAGCCCTTAAAGAGGGGCTGCCCGATGGGGAAGGACCATCACAGGCAGAATAGAGCAGATCCACCGCCCTGCACTCACCCGCCGAGGCGCCGCCTATCAGCAGCAGCAGAAGCAGCAGCAGCGCGGGCCTCGGGGGGCCCATGGCCGACCCGGTCTGTGGGAGCAGCTCCCTCACAGTGGCCTGGGTCTCACCAGATCCGAGGTTATCCAAAAACAGGCGCTGAGTGTGATTCTCTGCCCCGAAGGACTGATGGTGGGAATGGGCTGCCAGGCGTCTGCGCCCTATTTATATAAGGGCTGTCCTAAAGAGCTCTGAGTGAATTGCAAAAGGTCCAAAGGGCATGGTCCTGGGCCTGGGCCTGTTTGCTTTTCCACATAAGTTCTGTCTCAGGGAGATGAGGAAGAGACAGGGCGAAGGACTCAGATCCATATTTATTTATTTATGGGGTGGTGGTGGTGGTGCGGGGAGGACTGGTCTACCCTCAGGGGTTTCAGAGAGTAGGGGCTGGAGGCTAGTGACCTTTGTACCTGAGAAGACTGCTCTGCCCCAGTTGCCTTCTGGAAGATTAGGAACCACTAGGAATCAGGAATAACACCCTCCCCACTCCTCACTGCTCTGACTTGGTAACCATTTGGAAAGCCAGTCCTTTTTGTATTCCTTGAGAGGTTTTCCTATCCTTTCCCATTTTGGTGGGTTGTGGGTTTGCAATGGACACGCCTAATCCTGTTAAATACCTTGTGGATATGGATTATTGCCCTGGGTTCAGACAATCAAAAGGCAGAAGGGAGATGGGAGGATCATTGTCTCAGGCTTTCCACTCATCTATATCTAACCAGTAAGATTGGTCTTTTGAAAATGATTTTCAGTTCTACATTTTTCTTCTACTCTATCCAAGACCTTCTAATATGATTCCTTTCAGAGCAGTTAGTAGTGGTAACTTGGTACCATTTGGTTCTTCTGGTCTCAAGGTTATGGAGACTAAGTTCAAGCGATCTATTGGTTTATTGGACTAATTGATTTTCTTCACTCTTCTTTCTTCTGGACACAGAGAGACCAATAGTTACACTTTATGTGGCTGCTCTTGAGCTTTTAAGAAACACTATACAGGGTTGCTATTAGTTGAAACCGACCTGATGGCACTTAACAACAACAACAACAATTTCACTCAACATAATATCTGTAGGTTCATCCATGCTATGAGGCTTTTCCTCAGATTCATCATTATTTTTTAATGTTGTGTAGTAGTCCATTGTGTGAATGTACCAGTTTATCTATTTTTCCATGGATGGGCATTTAGGCTGTCTCTATCTTTTTGCTGTTATGAATAGTGTTGCGATGAACATGGGTGTGCATATCCATGTCATGACTATTATTTCTTGAGAATATATACCATCTAGAGGGATTTCTAGGTCATAAGGCATTTCTATTTCCAACTTTTTGAGGAAGCGACATACTGTTTTCCACAGTGGTTGCACCATTTTACAGTCCCACCAGCAATGTAGGAGCATCCCAGTCTCTCTGCACCCTTGTTAGCATTTGTTATCTTCCATTTTTTTAAAAAAAACTTTGCTATTAATGCTGGTATGAGATGATCTTTCATTGTTGGTTTTTTTATTTTAAAGTTTCTATAGTGAGCTCTGGTAGCATAGTGGCTACGAACTGGGCTGTGAGCTGCAAGGTCAGCAGTTCGAAACTACCAGCCGTTCCACAGGAGAAAGATGAGGCTTTCTACTCCTGTAAAGATTTACACCCTCAGAAACCCTGTACAGGGTCACTATGGGTCGGAACCGACTTGATGGCACTTAACAACAACAAAAACATTGTGAATTGAGTGATAATTTACATGGGAGAACATTGGTTTTACACTAATCATTTTATTGCAATGATTACAATCCACTCCATGCATCATCATTCAACAGTATTTGCTTCTATTCCCTCTGTTTTGTATTGTTTTGCTGTACACAAAAACACTCAGGAATATATAATCATTTAAACAACCAAAGGACATACTCTGCAAGCCTGCCTCCTGGCTGCCAGCCTCCTTTCTCTTGCCATGAGTCTAGAGTTCTCAGCTGCTCTATCTCTCCATGTCATCATCTCTGCCTCCATCTCTGGTGTCACTGCTTCTCTGGGTAGGGTCCCACGTTCCACTTGTGCTCTTCTCCCTTGATGGATCTAGGGTCCTCTGTTCCTGGAATGTAAGGTTAACTACCGCCCCCTCCCTTTTGTTATAAAACTTCTACCTTTACAATTGTGACAGTCACAATTAGTCATGATAACAATTACTCACTATTGAATCATAAGAATCTTATCCCCATCTCTTTTCACCAGACCCATCTAGACAAGATGAAAACTATTCACTGGGGATTCTACCTTCCCCTGTACACTCTGAAACTAAACTCCCTCATGAAAAATTTGTAATCCAGTCACTTTGTGCCTTTATAGACCCCCATTTTAGGTAGCCAATGTCTTAAGTTATCTATCCCTATCAACCCTGTGTGTAGAGGGAATAGGATTGATCCTTGATGTGAAGACGTCTTCCCTCTCAGTTGGTATTATGAGCAACTACATCCATAAGTATAGGTCAAGTTCATCAAACTGTAGCAATTGACACTTGTTTCCTTTACCACATTTTTTATCTTCCTCTAATCGAGTTCTGATCTTCAAGCCGATGACCTAGCTAGGTCAAATGGGTACTATCTGCAAATATTTGGGCATTCTTGTGCATCTCCTCTCACTTCATATCAGCTAGATGCTTCATTCTCACCTCTAGCCCTCTGTGGCTATGTCCTTCTCCATGGGCTCAGGAGTCCCCAGGTGTTACCACACTTTGGACCAACAATCCCTTTCTCTTCTCTCTCTCATCTCCAGTTTGACAGGAGTCAATGGAATGTGGTTGAACTCAGCCCATATCTTCATTGCTGCCTTTCAACCTTTGCCACTTATCAGTTGACCAACATAGTCACCAGCAAGCTTACATGCCTGCTGTGTGTTCCCTTTGCGTTTCAGTCTTGAAGGGTCAGGGGTCGTCTTGAAAGGACTTGATTACTTGCCTTGATGGCTCCCTGACATACAACTTGCTTTTCTTATACATGAATATTCCTTTCATCTAGAAATGTTCTTTAGTCAGTTTTTCCTTCTGCCCAGTTGTGTTGTTGTTTCTAAGTGCCATCAAGTTGGTTCAGACGCATAGCAACCCTGTATAGAGTTTCCCAGGAGCAGTTGGTGGGTTTGATTTGCTGACCATGTGGTTAGCAGTCCACTGTGTAACCTACAGGACTCTCTGTCAAGCTATAGGAAATAAATAGTACAGATAATGAAAATGACAATTAAAAAAGGAAGACCAAACAAGAAATGGCACATTAAACTTGTAGTATTGGAGATTATTGAATGTATATTATTGAATAGACAGCCAGAAGGAAGAACATGTTTGTTTTGGTGGAAGTACAACTAGAATTCTCCTTAGAAGCAAAGACAGAAAGATTTTGCCTCATTTACTTTGATTATGGTCATTGCTGTTGTTGTTACTGTTACTGTTAAGTATTGTTGTCTTATAGGGTTTCCAAGGAGTGGCTGGTGAGTTTGAACTGCCAACCTTGAAGTTCAAACTGGCATTGCAGACCAGTGCATTATCGTGCAGCACGACACCAGGCCTCCTATCTGCTATTAATCTTTAAGGACTTGGTTCTTCTGCCTTGAATATTCATTTGAAAAAGAACGAATGAGTTTATGCTGTGGGTTAATGCGCCAGACTGCAAAGTGTTTGAACTGCAAGGTCGGTGGTTCAAGCTCACCAGCTGCTCCTCAAAAACCCTGTACAGGGTCGCTATGGGTTGGCACTGACTCGACAGCACTTCACAACAACAAAGAAAGCAAGAGGAACTGGCTAGTTTCAATTTACGAGTTTAAGTTCAAACTTCCTCTGCTGAATGACTGTTGAAGCCAATATTCTATAGTTCGTATCAATGGAGAATTTTATTTTTATAAATTAGGAATCAAAAACTAGTCTGATAACTTGAATGTAGGTAAAATTTGTGGGATCTTTGGATAACCTTGATTTGGCTATTATCATCTTTGAAAGAGAAAGTCTGTAACATAGATGCAATGAATTTCCTTTGTTTCCCTAATTTGCTTTGAAAACTCACCACTGCTTGGAGCCTCAGCTATAGTACTCCTCATAAAAGAGTGAAAATGAACAAGAGGCTAAGAGCACATGCTGAAGTTTTGGATTGACTTGAGTACACTCATGGAAATGTAGTAAAGGTTAACTTGAACAGTTGTCATAAATTACAAAATCGATTGAAATCCTTTGTCAAAAGTGATTTTTAATGATAGTAATATGTGTGCCCTCAGAAATCAAGCATATCCCTTTATTTAAGTAGAACATTTCTCAGTACCTCTCTTAAGTAAGCTCTGAGTTTTCAGGGAGAGAGTTCAAATATAATCAGGAGTCAGGAAATCTTCTAGTATGTGCTCTGTAGTGAATGGCAGAGGAACCTGATCTGAGGAGGTCAGCTGATATAAAGGACACCAGTGTGGACATTAGACTCAAGGAGATCTGGGATTGAATACTGGCTGGGTTTCTTAGGAGATTTGTAAACTTAAGTAAATGACTTCACCTTCCTGGGCCTCTGCTTCATCATCTCTAAAACAGGTTTTTTTAATGATAATTAACGTCATAGAGATTTTTTTGTGTGATAATTAAATAAGTATGCCAAACACCTAGCAAATAAAAGACACCCAATAAATAGTAACTGATATAATTTATTATGTGTGTGTTAGAGTACAAGTGTATTTGTATAGTACTAATTTGTAAACCACAATAATCTATATATAAACAGCAGTTGATAGAACACAAATAGGAAATCAGGACTGAAGAAAAGAAAAGGAAAAAAAACCCCCCATTAGGTTACTTGCGGGGTTTTTGTTGGTTTTGCTTAATTTTTTGGCCGGTTTGGCCGTTCTTACTTTTTTGGGTTCTTTAGACTACTGCCAATGCTGAGGTAAATGGAGGTCCTCCGAAGCAAGTGGACTACTGACTCTGTAGCAGAGACACATTCTGATGTCACACAGATGAATCTCAGTTAGAGTTGACTTATCAGCTCCCAAACACAAAGTCCCATTGGGTGAACCATCAATCT